ATGAATTTTCCATTGTTACCGACTACATGTGGGGTATTCATTTCTACGTTGGAAATACATACCTTCATCTTCAATGTGTAGTTACTTACTTCATCACCTCAGTATACTTTGAATTGTGAATACACGTGTCATTTTGGTGACACATTTTTTTTCAGGGCTGTTCCAGTCAGTTAGACAAAGGAGTCGTTAATATAAGCGTCGATAGTATAGACGGCCCCTCTCTACCTCATCTCTGTATCCCATTTTCTCCTATCACGCCATTCTATTTCCACTCTACGTTAAATAAACAACAAAAATATTTTCAGCGAATGTTTAGCAAGCTACTCACCAGTTCATTTAATCTAACTGTTATCATCATTGTCTTCTAACATGCTGAAATATATAAACTGCGAGATCATCTGGCAACTTTCCACTGTGGCTGACACGACACATTGTGTTTACACTTAAACTTGTAAAATGCATTCTCACCTTGGTCTGTGTCGTTTGCTCTTAATGCATAAAATTTAAACCATTTTGATTTCTTGAGTACTGTAAAACGAATCTCTTTAGAATACAGTAATGGGTCCTGATTGTTGAACTCTTTGATCACCACAGTGATTGTAACACGTGTAATAGAAATGTTATCGTCCTGATAAAATGTAAACAACAGCTCTGAAATGGTTTTACGACTATTAGCAACAACGACAATATGGCACTATTCATACAACAGTTATATAGCATGCTCTGATGAATGTTGATATCTAGACATGTATCTGTTTAAAAGACAACTTGCTGCACTCTGCTGTGTTATTCTTAGTGATAATTGTTTAAGATGGTCACAAAACTGTACATGTAATATTGGTATAATTAAAAGTGACATGACCCTAACGGGGCACTATACCGCTGGAGACCAAACTCAAAAATAAAATCAGGGCAAAATGTGAACAAAAGAAGGATTGACACGGAGACTCCTGAAAAAGTACTAGGGGGAAAAGACCAATTGTTCAGGAAAATTAAGCGTCTTCTGCTTCATCGACGACACCAGCCATTGTGGTCAAAGTAATGTCGCGTTCTCAAATAAGAACAATATCTATAGCAACAGGTTTGTTAAGTTCATTGTTGGTTTTCGTCCTATTAGCAGCAAAGGGCTATTTGGGGAAAGCCTAGCGAGGGCCCTACGTATGCCTTTAACCTGCGATCCAGAGGTGGAGCACAAGTAATACAGACGACCAGACGTCTTAACCAATGAGCCATCGAAACAACGGCACCAAAAGGCAAACTAACGAAACACTTCCAACTTCATATTGAAGAGATACAACATTATCCCATAAGATCACTATGGTGACCATAAAATAAATGTACGTGGATTGTGACGTGAGAAATAAACACGATGGAGGAACAGTTGTATTAATTACAATGTCCATTTATAAAACTACAGTATTGATAATGCTTTATGGTTGCCCTATCCCTTTCCACGAAATTTCAAATATTTCTTCACAAGCAGTGCCTTTTATCACTGTTCGTGTGCTCTCTAATAGTGCCTTGCTTTGCCTGATATTATAGATAACGTAAACTTCAGTACAACTACATGAGGCAAAACAAGGTCACTATTTCTAATTATAGAATTTTGCCGTTATCGCTCTAGGCAATTTATTCGTTAGCCGATATCGTTTGTATAATTACCTATAGTTAGGTTTTACCTGATTAATTCCTCGAAACATTTTTATGTCTAAACTCAACGACAAGATCGCTGTTCCCGAAAAGGAAATCATTGGTGCCAGGGCGTTACAGACTCTATTTCTAATGATTCTTTTACATGTTATACATATCATTTCTGGCATGAATCCACTTTTGAATTTCATATCACCATTGGCCTTAATAAGCAATTTCTGTTATGATTATTAAAGCGTTATTTTATGCTAATCTCACTACAAACAGATTAGTGAAATATTTCTTTGCTCCAATATTTATTTACTGAAGAAACAAGTAGATTGCCATGCTAGTATTCCGTGAACTTTTCACAGCTGTATATACACTTAGTCTTTAGCATGTTGAGGTATGTATATACAGGTGTAAGCCTCATTAGAGCCGTTATCTCTGTAGAACACATGATAAGTCGTCGTGCCACGAACGAAGGCACCAACACTGCATGCTTGCAAGCTTTGTCAGTTTAAAAGTACTAACAATTTGTCATTTATTAGACACTATTTTCATAGGAATGCTAAGTCGACAAAACTGACAAGCCACTTTGTCTGTGCGGCACTGAATAACCGGTCCAATCCATGCTAATTAGTGTATGCACGTGGGTTGTACATATTCATCTCTACCTAATTAAATCCATATGCTAATTGAGAAAGGCGTTCCAAAACATTAAGAGTGAGTTATATGAAAATACTATTTATCTCAGTATTCATATCAAATCGACAAAATGGAAACCAGGTTTGATACTTATGTTCTGCAACCTGTATGAAGTCGTCCAGGTGTGACTTGTATAATCTAACAGTAAGTTGTGAAAAGTCAATACAGACTCGCTGATATTCCGTCACGGACACAATCCAGGTGACAAACCCAGATATTCAAACATCCTGTTTTCTAATATTACTTTGGAAATACATGTGTATTCTGTCTATGTAACTGATGAAGAATGTAGTTTATGACTACTTGTATTGTATACAAAAGTTTTGATAACATACGCCTATCAACAGTATGTATATATATATATATATATATATATATAGCCCTCAGCTCTCATCCATCCCCATCCCACCCCATTATCCATCTATTTATTATTATTTTGAACAAAATCTGTTGATGGGGTTAATGAAATATTGTACACAAGATTTTTGTTCCAAAATTAGGTGACATTTGGCCTTTGAACATCCAGTCCTGCTCTCTGTCGATAATGGAGACCTCTGACCTGTCATTCTCGTGACGGTTTCCATGCGGATGCCTACTGATCTCTCATATTACTCGATGTAAGAAGCAGGTGGAATATGTAATATTGTAAATCACGCCATACTTGTCTCCCCTCTTAAGGAGAAGACAAAAATGACTTTAGTAATGTAAGTTGTTGCCAAGTTTAAAATGAACACCGACATTCTCCAGCTCCAGGGCTCTACAAATGACATCAGATATACCCCTAACATAATGAACGACCACAGTTGTTGATAAGGCCTGGCCTATCTACATCTCCTCATTGTTGGAGAATTTCATTCATTGGAATGTCATGGTTTGAAAGATTGTGCAATGTTTGAGTTCCTAATTTTTGTCTGTAGTGTCAGTTATGGATCAACAAATATATCACATCAAAGATGATCATATCGGACACAAGAAAATAAAAATAATTGCTGACATTTACAAACTAAACAGTTGATAATTACATGTACGCTGAACCCAAAGGGGTCATTGTTACATAGATGAAATGAAACCGATGACTGCTGTTGTTGACATCTAAACTACTTTAAATCACAAACGTCTTGCGTGGCTTTTATTTGCGCGTTCATATGTGTGAAGAGTCCATCGCGAATAACCATTCATGTTGTTTCTGTTACTGATATCGAAGTCTTGAATATCCCGGGTCTCTAATAGCTTATCATTTGTGAATTTAAAGTCATTCCTAGATCAGTGTTCGCGTAATCACGTTTTCACGAATATATCTTAACAGGTAAGTTTGCGAAAGTATCCGCGGAACCTAAATGGTTTACAGTCCTAGCTGCCAACTTTTGTCAGAAATGCCTTCCTCATATTAATTAGATAGATGGAAGAGAAAACAACGTTGTCCGTGGGTTTAAAACAATTTTGTTGCAGTAGTCACATCTTGTACTAGTATTAGATAATGACTCATAACGGTTATTGCCATGGTAATTATTTTGTCCTCCTTTACTTTTTGATATCATTTTGTATTCGCTTTTGGTTTGCACTTATAAATCGTTTCATACCTGCAGTTAGTTATCTGATAGAAAACTAGTATAGTTAATGATATTTGGATAATTTATGGCCAGAAAATATCAAGCTCTTGTGACAAGTGCGTGATCTGTGATTGTGAATTCATATTCCACAGCCATATGCATAAAATTCCAGGAGCTCGATATTCTACCATAATTACTTGGCCAGGCGTACTGGATAGAATACACGAGAACGACATGTCAACATTACTTTGAAGGGCTTGGCTAGTAAACTATGTCGTTGGAGATTCTTTTATAACATCAGGATTAATAATCTTGTCTCGATTAGCACAAAGCGGTTTCCAGGAAGAACAAATGTATGACATGTTGTATATTTGAAGTACATGTAGAACGGTAATAAAGGATTTAAACGAGGCCAGTGGTAACCAAACAGTTATATCTGCCTTGTCAGGGAAAAGGGTATTTTATTCTTCTAATGAACCTGTAAATGATTCACGAATTTGTGATTGAGCTAGAACAAACGCCACATCCTAGTACTGTATCAGACACCATTTCGTCTTGTGAAATTCTCTATATAATGACGAATCTAATTGTAAAAATATTCAAAGTCATTAGGTCAATTCACAAATATTAAAACCTTATATTTGCCATTCCTCGATAGTCCAAATGTTTATCTTCAGCAAACAAATATGTTTTGTATTTTAAAGTAAGGAATTTTCTATTAAAATTTAAACAATTTTCTCTTTGACCAAACCAGAATGAACAGGTTAGCGAATGTTATGCAGATATCCCTTTGTTCCTTCGGGGCAATGTATCAATATGATCCTCTGTCTAGTCTGACATATTATTGTAGAACAAACATTATGAAACAATTTAGGTTGAGGTTGCAATGTCTAGATATGTCATTAGAGTAGAGAGACATCAGAAATGGTGATGTGTCGAGATGTTTGTATGCAAAAATATTTTTCAGTTTTTGCCATGGAATACACGAACAATATGTCGTTATGTTGGTTAAGGAAACCAAATAATGAGTATCTAGCATTAATCATGTAATAAAAGATAAGATCAATCTTTGACTTGTATCTACACTGATTCAAATGAAAATGAAACGCTTGGTTTAGGTAGTAACATTTATTGGACCAACGTACGGATCAAGCATTTGTGGGAATGAGACGGAGAATAATTGAAGTAACATGAGTCGATTGCCTGACGTAAAATAAATATATCTTAATATATCTATAAAACAAAATTCTCTTTTGATGATTTGTCCAACAATATTAAATGGCAACACATATATTACAAAAGCGCGCTTTGTGTATAATAAAAAATCTCCCTGATGTTTAAAGTACCATGGAACTCAAGAGTTGACGTGTTGGTAAAGTCAACTCTAATAGTCGATCGACTTTACACCTCACATTCTCGATGTCATGGAGCGCTCCCTGGTGTAAACTGACGGGACCGGAAGTGATCCTGTCCAGACCGGAAGTCCCTACAGTAAGATAAGCCGCTGTCGGACAGACGGTATCCTCCAGTTTCTGGACTTAGTTGTCCTCATGAACTCGAACAGGGACCTTGCACAGAGGTAAACAGTTTTGTATTTTTTTTACAATTTGGGTTTTTCATGTTTTTAACAACGATTGCCATGTCAATTAACTTTCAAAGGCTTTTTTGATAATGTCGGCTTTACTTTCATCTTCGCATGTTACGAATGAGATCCAGGCGTCAACGACAGTGCGGAGTGGTACAGTATTGTCTGTTGGTTTGAACAAAGCAAAAGCTTTCCTGACTACATCTTCATTTTCATGACCGAAAGCCTTGAAAGCGTAGATGAACTCATTCAAATCGATTGACCTGTCTTTGTTAGTGTCAATGACGTCGAAGATGGTGTTGAAGCAGTCGGTCATGTTTTTAACGAAACCGGCTTTGTCCTTGCTGTATTGGCCTCCCAAGAAACTCAAAAAGTCAGATTCGGAGACTTCAGCGCCGGCAGAAGGGAAGATGTAAGTATTCCACCATTTCTCCATATCGACCTTGACGCCGCTGCTCTTATCTCCTACGAGCTGGTGGAGGTCGGTAAACTTGTTGCGAGATTCCTCCACATCCTCGATGGAGATCTTTCCGTCGTGGTTGACGTCCAGGGACTTGTACCAGATCTTCCACTTGTTGTTAAGGAAGTCAGTCATGATGACAGGTGTGTGTGGTCTGAAAATACAAAAATACTGATGTATAATTTTGAAGGGAAGTCGGGTTTTGAAATGGGAGTGATTAAATGACTAATAGAACCATTAATCCAGCATTACAGGTAAAGTATGTCCAAGGATGCTCGTAATACATACAAGGTGAACCATAAAATACATGTTAAACTATGTCCTAAGCATGGAACCATTAACTCGTAATACATCTTAAAGTATGTCCTAAATACTGAACCATTAACTCGTCATACATGTTAAACTATGTCCTAAGGACTGAACCATAAACTCGTCATACATGTTAAACTATGTCCTAAGGACTGAACCATTTACTCGTCATACATGTTAACCTTTGTCATAATGACAGAAGCATTAATAAAACAATACAAGTAAACAGTTTCCTGTTGATACAATTCTTAACGCCAGGTAACTTTTTCTTCCTCACTATCAATAGTTAAATACTATCAGTCGTTCGGAATAAAAAAAAAAACAACATATTCAACTGATTTCATAGATCATATACCAGCAGAACGAAGGTGTCTGGCTTTAGGACGAGGCAGGGTGAAACAATTCATGGTTACATTGACCACAAAGCACCTTACATGTTGTTAAAGAGGATGACAAACTTTTTACTATTATTATTATTTAGTATATAGTCAATTGAATTATAACACGGTATTTGATGATAAGCGATATAATGACACCCGGATCATACATCGCATTTGACTGGTTAGTCGAAATGATTGTATCCGGATAGCAATTTGTTACTGACGAAGAACTGATTTTTAATCGTGATTCCTTCATTAGTTTTAGATGATTTGAGCTACATTAAGTATGATGGAGTACCTCCACAAGGCGTGGAAATATCAGGCATGTATTTGTTAACCTGAAATCCATAGCACTAGTAATTTATGGTAATATTGAAAACCTCGTTATTGTTCTAGATATTTGGCAACATTTAAAGTGTTTCTTAAGTGTAAAAATAAAACTTTATTATGAAGAGGTCATCGCAAAATAGCAGTTATGTTAAATTCCGTCAGAAGAGTTTGCGTGTACATGAGACACGCTCGTAAGAGCGTCTTATGTAGATAGTGTATAACAACGCAAGTGGGAACTGAGTGAAACATAAGGAGTTATTATATTAGGTGTTGATGGTAGCACAGAACCTTAACACATGTACCCACTCAACAGTATCCACATACCGTCTGTCAGCCACCACATGGCAGATCTTATGTTATCAAGGTTTTACTTAGTTCAGCATTGACATCACCTTTGTACTTACAAAGGTTAACACACACACGTGTGTTTATGCTCCATAAACCATTATACATTTATTGTATGAAATTACTCCAATTATGTTTTCCCTCCTGATAACAATTGTGAACACTCGTTGGCAAATACACTTGAAAACTACCAATGTGGAATCAAGATGGCAAACAGTCCATCCACGTGTCATGGACACTTAAGGGATTAGGTCGGTTGATATGGTAAATATTTATAACAATTATTCCACCAGACGTTCGCGGTATGTCGCCAATCAACCCTTCATGGTGATTAGGATGTTCTGGTCAAGGTCATCACAGTCAAGTGCTATGATAATAAAAGTTTTGCAATCTTTATCTGTCTACTGATCACCATTTATGTTGTCTGTATTGCCATCTACTATTTCATCTAATGTGTATACTAGAGAAAATTTTGTCGATTGTTACATAATCGTGGGTATCATTTACATGAAACATGCCAAAGTTGATATTTAACAGATAATGAGAGAAGTATCGTAATTTGCTATTGTTATTTCATTACCTTCGCATTTATTAACTCCGAAAACAAAATTGAAAGACTTGGCGCTAATTTTATACTCAGGCGAAATACAAAACGGATGTACAGCATTTAGTGTTTTAAAATATCGTAAAAACCGAACTTGAACTCAGAGCTAAATTGCCGAATGACATAAGCTATTTAATATGGGAACGCATACAGACACAATTACATCACTCCCTTACTTCATCCTACTAGGTCTCTTTCTCCGTCTGTTATTTCTCCCACTCACTCCCTTCTACTATATCGATTTCCTTTACTATAAGGTATATTGCGTAAATTGCCTTATCGATTCATCATTTGTATATATGAATTTGTAATAAAAAAGGACTATAATGTCAGAGGCCAGAATGTCATGTTCCACTTAAAAGTGAGTTATATGTATCAGTATATAACTTTGATAACTCGAACCCGAATCAGGTGATGTGTTTGACTTAAATTTCCTCTAATGACAATCATTTGCCGGGGAAAATCATTGACCCGAGTCTAATTTATATTACAGTGTAGCAAATTGACTCTAAACCAGGAAGTTTTGCACATATTGCGTGACTCTGTGTTGTTCAATTAACATCAGTATATTGCAATAGATGTAGGCAGTTATTAATGGCCCGAAGTCAGTATGTAGACGGAGGCTAACATTCAATGTCGCGAATGCGCTCTTTAATGCCATAATTATGACAAGATATTCGAAGAACCTGATTACACTCCTCTCCTCTCTGGTGGCCTCCCCAAGGCAGGCCCCCGTTGTAGGGTATATATGTATGTACCTACATAGGTGAAGGTTTGAAAGAGGACCCCATTAACATGCTGGATCAATAGACAAAAATCGACCCCACGTGTCTTATGACGACCACGCGTGCCCTGTAACCAATCATCGTGCGTGGCTAAGTGGCTGTCCCATTCTTCGGAATGCCTCCCTCGCCTTCCCCGATAATAAAAAACAGCTGTTAAGATTCTATCCTAGTACCCAAAAATGGTTAGTGTTGGAGAGTACATCATCGTTCCGATGACAAACGGGTGAACGAACTGCTGATGTAGGCGTAGTCTCTAATAATTACTTGTGTGTGTATTTATACAGTTTCACGCTGTCATTTAATGATACCCTCTTCAGATACACGTGCATTCTTGTTTTGAATAGCATACATACACATATCTGTACTCGAGCTGTGACTGCATTGACCTTGACAAAATAAGAGTTTTCCTATACATTCACAATCCCCAACTTATAAAACGATTCTTTGTAGATGTAGTGTAAGTGTTGTTGTGTTACTTGTATTTATGTCAGCTGGAAAATTGCATTACGCCGCCAAATTGTTTATTAACGTATTTCTCATAGATCAGTGTATATGTACTCTTTTTTGAAAGATGAACTCACATTAAGTTAATCTAATTCAGAACTTTACAACACTCGTAGCTATAATATTGACACTGCTGATCTATAAAAGTACTGAGATCCCCCTCCCCGCCCTCCATCTTTCCCCATATTGTATGTCGTAACCATGTTAGACTAAGGACTAAATACGACTGACACTAATTGTAAGTAAATCAAGGTTTGTAAGGCAGTAGTATGGCAGTAATCCCAATGCCAGGTCAGATAGTACGCCTATACTTTTGCTCTGTGACAATTGATGTACTGATTCCTCTACACATGTTCTGGATGAAACAACAGTTTTATCAGGTTATCAGGTTGAGGTTATCCTCTCAACGACAAAAAAAATCTCGCTGTTAACCATGAAATAGTATCTAGGTATCTACACCACAAGCTTGAGTTCAGAATTCAATGTGTAATATTGCATGGGTAAATTTTATTTAAGGTAAAAACAGTTGATATAAGATACGAAAAGTATCCAACCGTGTGACTTGATGTACATCCACACTCCTCAAATAATGATGTATTGATTTTTACAACATCTAATATTAATGATAAAAGCTAAAATAGCTTGCCGTCAATTATTATCAGGTCGTTTTTAGTACCGTCCTGAAATAGTCGTCTCACACTCCAGATACAGTAATCATACGTCCCTCTCGTCCTTATTTAATGTTGGCACTTATTGTTATCTTCAGTTCTAACCGAAATTTACCGTAACGTCAAATGAAACAATGTTGACAAGCGAAAGTGTGAACGTATCCAAGAGCTTGGCATTCAATCAGTACTTCGTCACCTAGTAACAGTTGGGGCTATTGCGGAACCATTGATATAGCAATATCGCTGAAATCCCAATAAAAATGTTCGTAATTTTACAAGACATATATACTTTTTGGAAATTGTAGTACAACTATAGGAATAGATGTTTCAAGGTAAGATTATTTAGTTATCGCGAATAATTCTCGTTGGTAATTCCCAATTGGGTCCCCACTTGTTCAGTGATATGGCCATAATGTTAGCAAGCTTGCCTAATAAGTGTTCTGGACTTACCACCTTGTATATTTATTGTGAAACCTTGGTTAAAAACGGCTTGAAGTGAAAACTTTATGGCTCTAATAATATCAAGGTATCATAAAGTCAACACTCAGGGACGGTCACGTCTAATGAAACAGTTACTTCAGTGCAAATATTATGGCAGTGTTTACTGGTTAAAAGGCCAACATTCGCTCGTTTTCCCTTCCAGTACACATTCAATGTAAATTCTACAAAATCTGGCGATCATATAATAGTGGCTGTGATATGTACAGTCAGTTGTGGTCATATGCCAACTTACTGTACATGTATTAAAACAGTATTGATATTATGAAAGCCGTTTACTTTAGAAGATCCGAAATATGGTGGAATTAGAAATATATGGCTTACCGATGGAAGTTGGTTCCATGTAAGCAAATCTTACGCAGAAATCAATGGTACTATAGAAGACTTAATTGGTAACTGTTTGGCAAAATGGAAATGCTACACGGAATAAGAAGATACAGAACGGTATAAGATTAAATCGCCATGGTAAACGGGGAACAAATAAACAGCTGACTGTAAAGTTTTACAGGAGTTGAAGATACAGCTGGCTGCAAAGTTTTACAGGAGTTGAAGACACAGCTGGCTGTTAAGTTTTACAGGAGTTGAAGATACAGCTGGCTGTAAAGTTTTACAGGAGCTGTAAAGTTTTACAGGAGTTGAAGATACAGCTGGCTGTAAGGTTTTACAGGAGTTGAACATACAGCTGACTGTAAAGTTTTACAGGAGTTGAAGAGAGACAAAGAGTTTACAAG